AATTAAAAAAAAAAAAAAAAAAAAGTATTGAGATACTTATTACTAAGAATTATTAATTGCATTTTTGTAAAATGTTCTGTTTTATGATATTTGACATACTATTTATGAAAACTATTTATGTAAAAATATTTACATACTATTTACGAAAAAAATAAGGTACGATCTTAATTTGTACTGAGTATTGCTGGCTGTTTCTGGATATCGTTAATAATAATTTTTGTAAAATGTTCTGTTTTATGACATTTGACATACTATTTACGAAAACTATTTATATAAAAATATTTACATACTATTTACGAAAAAAATAAGGTACAATCTTAATTTGTACTGAGTCTTGCTGGCTGTTGCTGGGTATTGTCAATAATGGTTTATTAAAACTTATAATTCTTTTAAATATTTGAGATATTAAAAAAATATAGTGGTAATAGATTAGTAGAGTTGTAGTTAATAATCCAAACTGAAACTCAAAATTAATCAACAATTTTTTCCATTTCGTACAATTATATTGCAGAAGTTAGGTGGTTGTAACAAAATGGTATGTTGGCGATGCAATACATTTTTTTGCTGGTTATGCAACACTATTCTTCATCGTGATAAACCATACGAACATTTTCATGATATTAGTTCCAAATGTTTTAATATGTTATATTATGGTATACCAAATCAAGATGATGATGATGAAGAAGATGGTGTTTATATTTATAACCTACATTATCCAAATTATGAATCGGAGGATGAAGACTTCTTCGAGGAAATGTAAAATTGAAAGAAAATATGACATTTGGAAAATTAACAATTACTCTTATCACTTCTTTTATGAATGTTCTGCTATGACAAAAAATATTCAGATTAAAATTTTGTTTGTAATTCCTAAGAATTTTTAGCGCTGCTGTGTATTTATACATATATTTGTGTCTGTACAAAGAAACGTATAATAAATATATTCACCAATTCATTATAGAAACATTAATTAATCTTGAGTAATAATTTTATAAACACTTTCTATAAAATATTAATATATATACTTGTTTTAAATTTTTGTTGAAATTGGAAAAAATATATTAAAATATATTAATAAAAAATAATTATACAACATAAATGGTCTAGGGTTTTAGAATTTAAAAACATGCCATTGCTGATGATAATCTATTCCTTTATTACAAAAAAAAAAAGATATCAAAACAGTCATAATAATCAAGCTATTTAGTACTCTTCGGCACCTTCTCCTTCACCTTCGGCGGAATCCATGCCAACTTCTTCATAATCTTTTTCAAGAGCTGCAAGATCCTCACGAGCTTCAGAAAATTCACCTTCTTCCATACCTTCACCGACATACCAATGGACAAATGCTCGTTTAGCATACATTAAGTCGAATTTATGATCAAGACGAGCCCAGGCTTCAGCAATTGCGGTTGTATTTGACAGCATACAAACAGCACGCTGCACTTTGGCGAGATCACCACCAGGTACTACAGTTGGCGGCTGGTAGTTAATACCAACTTTAAATCCAGTTGGACACCAATCAACAAATTGAATAGTACGTTTCGTTTTAATTGTAGCAATCGCAGCATTTACATCTTTGGGTACAACATCGCCTCTGTACAACATGCAGCAGGCCATATATTTTCCATGACGAGGATCGCACTTCACCATTTGGTTGGCTGGCTCGAAACACGCATTTGTAATCTCTGATACAGAGAGTTGTTCATGATATGCCTTCTCTGCAGAAATGACAGGTGCATATGTTACCAAGGGGAAATGAATTCTGGGATAAGGTACTAAGTTCGTCTGGAACTCGGTTAAGTCAACGTTCAGTGCACCGTCAAATCGCAAAGAAGCTGTAATGGAGGACACAATTTGGCCAATCAGTCGATTTAAGTTAGTATAAGTAGGTCTTTCTATGTCTAAGTTACGGCGACAAATATCATAGATGGCTTCATTGTCAACCATAAATGCACAGTCGGAATGTTCAAGAGTGGTGTGCGTAGTGAGAATTGAGTTATATGGTTCAACAACTGCTGTGGAAACTTGTGGAGCAGGATAAATGGCAAATTCCAGCTTCGATTTTTTGCCATAGTCTACAGAAAGACGTTCCATTAAAAGGGAAGTAAATCCAGAACCAGTACCACCTCCAAAGGAATGGAAGATGAGGAAACCTTGAAGGCCAGTACATTGATCAGCTAATTTGCGAATTCTATCCAGTACAAGGTCTACAATTTCTTTTCCAATTGTGTAATGACCACGAGCATAATTATTAGCTGCATCTTCTTTACCAGTAATCAATTGTTCTGGATGGAACAATTGACGGTAAGTACCAGTACGTACCTCATCTGAAAAATAATGATTATTTTAGATACCAATTTGTAACATATAAAAATCTTCAATTTAATGAAATCTGACAGTACTAACCAACTACAGTGGGTTCCAAGTCAATGAAGACTGCCCTAGGTACATGTTTTCCAGCACCAGTCTCACTAAAGAAGGTGTTAAAACTGTCATCACCTCCACCAATGGTTTTGTCAGATGGCATTTGGCCATCAGGCTGGATGCCATGTTCCAAGCAATACAATTCCCAACAGGCATTACCAATTTGGACACCAGCTTGCCCAACATGAACTGAGATACATTCACGCTAACATAAAAAGTATAAAATTATAAAATATATAAAATATTAATTATTAAATATTTGCAATTTATAAAAATTAAATATTAAATGATATATCTATTTATTTAACAACAACAATAATAATAATTAATTTTCTTAATAGCAAAATGTTAACATTATAATGCTCGAAGTTCAATGAACTCAATTGTTCAGACATGAAAAAAATCGAATTACTACAATTCGAGCTATTACGAAAATAAAATGTTTACGTTTTCATTGTTTAGTTTTACAAAATAAAAAAATCTTGTTACTTTTAAGAGAATATAGTGCAAAAAAATATTCAAAACCGGCTTAATTCAGAACAAAGTTGGAAGCCGGCCGGCATTTAACCGTTACAAAATGGCTACCTTCCTTTCAGCAGTGTTTTAAAATCTTTTAAGTTTCCTTCAATATTCTTTGAAAAAATTAAAACTTACCATTTTGTAATGTAAAGTAGACTTTCAAAATTCTTGAAAAAAAGAAGTAGGAATGGACGTAGGACGTAAAAAGTTGGCTAAAGCAAGTAATGAAGCTTTCGCTAACAACTATGGTACCTCTGCCCGATATTCGTTAAACGAATGCACAGCTAAGCACTAGGTACAGCCATTTATACCCTCGGTAGGCACATCGTCAGTGTGCGCTGATTGGTTGTCGATGGCCTCATTCCCTTTCCTGATTGGTCTTTTTCGACCGCAGCACCCACGACGCCTGAATACACAGTCCTTGTACGGAAAATATAGTCCCCATATTAACGACATAATCATTTATTTCACTGCCACTAATGACGATATATTTATTTGTTATTGTGTATTTAATTATTAAAGAAAGGAATTTTCTGGTTAAAGCACCTTAACAAAGTTTAAAAAAACTAAAGATGTTCTTTATACAAAAATGTAGTTGTGATACACGACGGTTTCTTCCATATTTGGATTGTGCATTCTGATTGGTGACTCACGTAATTCGTGTGTCCTCCTTGTAACAAAATGTAATCCAGCAGCAATTTTCTTGCGAAATATCTTAAATCTAAAGATATTATTTGAGAATATCGATTAAAATCTTAAAAAGTTACTATCTTAGTTTCTATTCTTTATCACTTATATCAATGGTTTCATATTATAGATAATATAAAATAAATAAAACTGTGTATATTATAATAACTGATAACTTTTTGGTTATTTTATAATATGTATTTATGTACATATGTATATTTAATGTTTGGAATAGTAATTAAATTTATACATCGATGAAAGTATAAGACTTTTGGGTTTATAAAATATAGTAAATCGAATAGCATTTTGATCGAATTATATTCACTCACGTTTCTTTTTTAATTTTTCATATATGAAATTTACAACCATGTATGTATATTATATTAGATATGCAACGTATCTCTACATTGAAATGTTATAATTCACAGAAATATGTTCATTTTTTTATATTTTAACATGATATTATTGTAAGTAATATTATTCAATATCGACATATAAATATACATTTAAAAAAAATTGAAAAATTTTTAATTTGGTCAGGTATACAGGATTTTAAAATATTTGGATTATATACACCCATGTTAGGTATTGATCTTGTCTCCGTATACCGGGTGTCCTAGAAATGTGATTGTAACTAAAATTTCTTAGTCATTAAAATTAACATACTGTAAATTTTAGCAATTTTATTCTCCATTATTTGGAACAAAATATACTAACAAAATTAATAAATTGAAATATTAAAAATAAGAAAAAGAAGTACAGAACAAAGAAATTTAATTTATGGACATTGAAATATGTAATTTACTAATACCACTTATTTTAAACAAAATTTAGACATATATAAACAGTATAGAAAAATAAACGTAGACATTTTAATACCATATGCATGGGATTTAATTATATTTGGAAATAAGTAATAAAACTTAGCTGCATGTTGTCTGTAGAAACAAGAATGAATCTCAATTAAAATTTTGCGAGTACAATCTTAATTTAAAAAGAAAAAAGAAATGTAAATCGAATTAATGAAGTATATAATAATTTATTAGCAATTATTGATAGTGACAAAAAATGTTATTTTGTTATTAGAACTATAACATAAAATTGAAGCAAGGAATGCATCTGAGATTGCCTCGTAAACTTTGGTAGATTGATTATATGATGAATTGTAGTTGATCTACTTCCTGCCCATGAGCACAAACCGTATCTGCTCTCTATTCTTGATTCTGCGATCTCACCTTACTGTGGTTTTTGACCTCTTTAGAGTTTTGTGTCTCTTTTGGTCTTGTAAAATCCTTTAATCGTAAAAGCATACAATAAATATAACTGGAGGAATAATAAAGCAATTTAATCAATATAAAAAGGCATATAAACTTAAACCAAAATTAGAAATTACGCTTATTAAAATAGTGAGGTTATCTTAAGAACGCAAAGAATATATCTGGCAATTATAATAATCTTTTATGTGTGGTACATCCTAATTAAAATACATAACTTAAATTAAAAAATTCATACTTTGTTAACCTAAATTTTTAAAATACATTCTTGATAACAAATATTATAAGTCTTAATGTTATTTAAATTTTTTATTCGTAATAATTTCAAAATTTGGGTAAAAATTTATGACATATCGTGTACGACGAATTTTATTAATTTTTAACCATGTTTATTGATAACTATATTATTGAGATTAAGTTATGAATTTCTTCTTTTAATGTACGTTTATTGAAGAATTATAAAATAAGAAACGGTACAAGTACTTCCCATGTCACGGTTGGAGGTAAGTTGTAGCTATTCTATAGCATACAGCCACTCTTAGAATATATACTTTAACCTAGCCAAGAGGAATTTCTAGAAATAACATGGCTAAATATACGTGTGTATACATGCAATCAAATATAATTTATTTTAGTTACAAATTATTAATTATAATCTATTTGTTTAAATTTTACTCAATAATTATTTATTTACATAATTTCAAGCTTAATTTTCAATACTAAAATTCAGATGTTTTTAAGAAGAATATGTTATTCGTATTTTATATTTGAATTACATAGAAAGTTAGTTTTGCGTATCTTTGTAATCGTAGCTGAAATATGGCTAATTCAAAATATTTTTATATCATAAGGTTACATATTACTAATTCTCGACACAATATAGAGTATATAGTAATAATAGTTGAAATTACCATGTGTGGTACAACTAAAAACAGTTGATTTATGTATATAAGGTAGGGAAGCTTGCTCAATTATGTACGATAGATAATAAGATAGGATGAACACGCAATTATAGCCGATATACAGTAAAGTAGAAAAGCACGTACCTATAAGTGATAGACAGTAAGGTAGGGAACATGTGCAATTGTATGCGACATATAGTAAAGTAGGGAAATACGTGCGACTATACGCGACAGATGGTAAGGTAGACTAGTGTATACTAGTATATATACAACAGACGTAAGAATGAAAACACGTCAGTCAAAAAGTCGACAGATATATAATTAGTAATATTTTAAGTTACGATTAGCTATAATTTCAATATACAATTGAAATATATTTTGCACAAGTCTTATTATAAATTAGTACTCATTTATTTAGCTTACTTACTTTAGAATGCTCCTGTACACGTTTTTAATCGTGAACTTACAAGCTCTAATTAATATCATCGAATATAATCACTAACTGCAGACTTGTAATACTATTGTAAGCTGAAAGAGTTAATTAACCTTTGTCTCTGAAATGTTTTAATCACTAGAACAATAGTCATCAAATACGAAAACTATCTATCGTATAACAAATTAATATTCAATTTTAACAAATTTTTCGAATATATATAGTTTATTGCTTTATTAAATTGAAATTGATGAATATTTATTGGAATATTGAGTTGTACATTTCATTCATTTAAGTGATATTTAGGCGATTTTTATACGAATGAACGTGTGATATAAAAATGCACTTCTGTGGTAAAACATAAGTTGGTTGACTCAACTACATGTAGGTAAGTAGAAAAGTTTGCATCGGTATACACAGTAACTCCTATAAACTTCTATGAGAGTTAGTTATTCAATTGAAAGCAATTTTAAATTTCAGATGGCAGATCCATCGCTGCTTAAATATATGTTGCTAGGTAACAGTTTCAAAGTAAACATTAAGTAAATGGAGTTGAATAAAATAATAAAAGTATATTAAATACATTCAGATTTTTGTGATTAATTTATAATTATCTATTAAAAAAAATCACCACCTTTAATTTGTATAATAATAATAATAATATGTCGGACGAGGATATCGATTTCGTCAAAGGATATGCACGACATAATGAAATTAAAAAAGAACAAAATTTAAGTCTTTATTATGTATATCCTATTATAGATGAAGTTTCAGAAACGAATGTTCTTACTAATGACATAAAAAATCTACGAAAATTAAACCAAGAAGGTATATTAGTTGAAGATGGATTATATGCTTCTGATAATCCATTCATTTATAATGATATTGAACTTTCCGAATTTAGTAATATAAATATATTAGAATACGATTCAAAACGTAAATTTTCTGGTAAATTGCTAGAAATTGTAATTCGCGAAGTAAATATTAATACTTTGACTGATCAAATAGATTCTATTGAAATTACATCTGTCTACTTGTTATTCAAGAAAAAAGTTATTTGTAAAGCAAATAGTCCTTTTAATAGAAAGTTACATAAATTATTAATTAAGAACTCTGAATTCAATAATCTTTCAATACAAGTATATACTAAAAGTGGTCAATCTAGCATATTACCATTACCACTACCAAAATGTAATATTGAAAATCATAAAGTAGACATAGACTTTGCAATAGGTAATAAATTTGGTAGAATACATGCTGGAACAGTAATATGTACAATTACTTTAAGTAACTATGGTGAAAATGAACAGAAGTCATGTACAATTTATCCTTATAAATTAAGTAATGATCCAAATGATCCACAAAATAGTATGTCTCTATTGAGGCCATCAAAAAGTGTTTATAAAAAGCAAGTAAAATATTTCTTACTGGAAGAACCAGTACTAACTTTTGACACAAATTTAGAAATTGTCACTCTTAAGAAAGTTCAAACAGAAGAAACAAAGTTACCAGATATAGTCATAACGGAACAACCTGCATTTTCTTTACTGAATATATCATTTAGAAACCTATTCCAAACTAAACATCCATTAGAATTATTATCTGGTACCCGCAGACATCAAGCAGTAGGAAAGACAGTTTTGAGTGTTACTATTTTACGTGGTATAGAAGTACCGATTAGAGAAGAGTCTGCATTAGTTCAACCATTTGCAGAAGTTGAATGGGGTAATACAATACACACAACATGTATAGCAGAAGGTCCAGCACCAGTATGGCAACAAACAATGTATTTTGAATTGCCAAGACAAAATGAAGAACATTGTATAAAGTTTCGTTTATATGATGAACATCCTGTTTGGGGTCAACAATGGCTGGGTGAAGCTAGAATTCCACTTGAATATCACAGAAATTACCAAGAGCTTGAACGATGGATTGTATTGTCTCCTTTATTTAGTCCAAGTTTATTATTTGGATATATACAAGCTAGTCCTGGCCAATCATGTACTCGAATTTATGTTCTGATTAAAATGGAACATCCAAGTACTGTAAAGTCAATTGAAAGTACTACTATAAATACATTATTGAAAGGAATTCAACGATGCCTTGTTACATCATATAAAATTAATGGTGTGGAAAGTCCAAAAGATGCTGCAAGATTAGCAATGCTTTTACCATCATTACCTAATCATTATGGACCAATTACACCACGTCAAACATTAAACATGAGGAAAGTAGATCACTATGGAAGAGCTGCTTTATTAGCAGTATTATTACAAGGCCTAGATTTACAAACATATGTTTTATTGGGTATGTAAAAGTATTATGTAGAAATCTTTTAATTATACCAATTTATGGTTAAATCTTTAAATGAATTTATATTAAATAATAGGTTCTTCTCAAATAAGTAAATGGACAGCATTTGTTCTAAGCATTAGTGAAAATAGAATATATACATTATGGGATGCAGAAGTTGGAAACTACTATAAATTAGATGATAGTTATTGTCCTTTAATGAAAGTATCTCGTTTAATCAATCATTCTGGTGTTAGTATAATTGTTACCACATCTATTTAATTAAAATAATATTTGTACTGATCATTCTAAATAACATCCTTTTAGATATGGGAAAATTTGCAAAAATCTATTCTACCTCATAATCTTAAGTATGACGTGAAATTAACTAAAGAATGGCGATCTATTGATGGCAATACTTCAGTGAAAAATGATCATGCTGTTCAAGTATTGGAATTAAATATTACAGAGCAAGAATTAACACAAATTAAAAAGACCGCTATGGATATAGAACAATCCTTAAAAGATAAACTAGCTCATTGGCGCAGTACAATTGGTTTAACAACAATTTTTAATCGACATGCAGTAGCGATTTTACGAAACTTTATGTCTAAGATAGAAGCCACTTCGGAAGTACAGTTAGATAAGAAAGAGTTGAAACAATTGTACAGAGCTTACCACGTTCATGGTTTTATTTTAAACCAACGTGAATGTCGCATTGATGATTTGAGCGAACATTTACGAGCAACGAAGATTTACAATATTAATGGGCCAATTGAATTTGCTGTGGTATGTCAGATGCAACCTTATATTGGGAAAATTTCCTCGATTTGGTTGGCTGTTATCATTCTTAGAAGTCGTGAATAGTTATTTATAAATTAATATTATCTTTTATATTGAATGATATATTAAGCAGAATTTAATATTTACTGGTTATATTTATTTGTTACATATTTGTGTATTAGATTAAAATTAATATTACAATATTTGTAAAGTAAGTTAGTTATTTTTTTTATCACACTCAAATTTTGTAAAAGATATTTGTTGTTTTTTAATACGAATTATTACATGAATATTTTTATTAAAGTTTCATATATAAAAAGGTATATAGTAAAAAAGTATATAATTAAATATTAAATTTTTTAAAAATACAATAAATATAAAATGAGGCTTCAATAAACAAGCTAATAATCATACTAAATTGTCATATGATAGTATAATTTTCTTTTTTATTATCGAATCGTTTAACTTGACAATATATAATAATTGTATATGTATAAGATTCAAAATCTATAATACAGTTTCGCTTATAACAAAAGTTAATAATTGTAAATATATTGTCATTAATTATATTATCTTTTTACAAAAGCTGAAACTCTTATAATTTTAATTCTTATAAATCCAATATACATTTTTTATAAAATTTGTTCATACAATACAATAATTCCTGAATAAGTGGTCGTGAAATAGGTTTGCTAATGATTAATGAATCAGTATAAATTTTGAATACTCAGCGAATGTACACTCATTCATTAGAAGAAATTAGAATTTTCATACTTTTAATTAAACGTTCAGAAAATTATTACTGGCATGTATTTTTTTGATAAAAATGAATTCAAATATAATCCAATTAGTATTTTTTCTTCTATTTTTCTTTATTCAATAACATCGGTAATTGAATAAAATTGCATTTATATTCATTTTTATTAGGAAATTTTCGATTAACTATTCGTAATAATGCGATGAAGATGCTTCTGAAAATATAAAAAAGTCAAATTTCCATTAATGAATGATTCAGTAAATCTATGAAATTTATTGTTTTGTCACCAATCGAATATCACTTGTTACTGTTTACAATAATTTACAGAAAAGAATGGTAGGCCAATATTACGAAATTTTGATCAGATAAAATTCAGTAATACTTATTCAGAGACTATCATATTTAAGTGAAATTTAATATAGGAGACATCCTTATAGTAAGAAATATTTTAGTCTGATTTTAATAATTATACATAATGACAATATATAACATAATACACTTTTATAATCACTTTTCTATCTAATTTTATTATTTGCTGGTTCGTTTTTTTTTCTTATATCATTGTAAAGGTATGACGAACAAATGTTGTTGGAAATAAACATAATGCAGTGGTTGGTTTTTTGCATTGCGCAGCAATGCTCTTTTTATAACAATTGCAATGTTTTTTACATATTGCGACAGTAATAAAACGTATTAACAATATTTTATTGCCTAATAATTTTAGACGTAGTTTAAATAAAGAAACATGTGTAAACAATACTAATTAATTTTTACAAACGATCATGATCATATATTTTGTACATCATCTTTCGACTTGAAACCGGATTTAAAAATTTTTGCGATAGTAATTTTATGTACGAGTCTTTATTTGTGCGATAATATTTAAATTTTCGGAAAGTTCTGTATATAAAAAGTCTTATTGTTTTGATAATTTTCGTTTGAACGTATAAAATTTCTCGCGCGTAATTAATATATTACGTGCATTTAATATTTGTATGTAAAATATTAATTGTAGAAAAATGTTTCATATAAATGTTTATCTAACTTATCAGTATCTTACCAATTGACATAGTGAATCAGTTTTTGTTTCATATTAAATTTAAACAGAAGGACGATTAGTTCTACTATTTAGTTTCGTCTAATCAAATATCATTGTGTATGATTAATAGCAAATATTTTGTATTATTTCGAAAAAGTCATATTCGCTAAAAACTATATAGAATAAAAAAAAATCACATACAAAGACAATATTAGACATGTAACTGCAATATTCAAATGAAATTTTGTATAACTTTATAATAAGGATTCATGATCGTATAGAATATCATTTTCCATTTATTCAAATAGATTGCAACAATATTTGAATATCACGGTATAGTATTATGTAGACGTCAAATGTGCAAATGTTGGTACAGCCTTACGTGACCATCATATTTGAATTCTATCCTTAGAACTACTACGAGAAAAAACTAAAGACAGTTTCTGACACGACTGGTTTACTTTGTTTCTTTCTTTATACAAGGCAGATTTTAACCATCGGTCACAGAAAAATCGCTTAGTTTAAGCTTATGCAACGTTATCGTAATCGATCACTCTGGATCTCATGTATTCCGCCTATTGACGACTAAACGGCTAATGTACTCGACTAATTTGTATTTACAATACCTTAGATCAGCGATCCGCCGAACTTTGTGCTGCTGATCCAAGGATAAAAAATCGCAGGCCGATAAGTTTAAAGTCGGGATTACGTCAGTTCGTTAAAGAAATATCGGATTTTTCTATGAAATCCGACTTTCCTGTAATGGTATAGTGTATTGAGTGTCGCTCATCACGAGCGAAGCGGCAGTTGCAGTAACTAAAAGTTTTAATCAAATAGATTCTGGTATCAAGACATCATTACCGATTGCATGAGATTTTCATGAATTTCTGTTCACTTTCGTTTTACAACTATGAATATCTTGTAACTCAAGCGATATTTAATATCTTAATGAAGAACTTAAAAGTTCATTTTTCACTGCATCTTTTTGAATACACCATTCGCATATCCATTAGCATGTCCATTTACATTTCCATTACACACAAGTCTATCGGTAATTTTGGTCTTTGATTGGCTATCTGCCTTCATTTTTTCTAATTGTCTCTCCGCGTATGCTTGTTTACCCTAAAAAAAAAAATGATATTTTAGAAATATCCGTTTAATACCATAGTTTAATAACGGAGGGTTATGTTAAATATAAATATAATTAAATGATATATTTAATAAATAATGATATATTACCTTAGCAATGTACGCTTTGGCGTAGAAGTTTCCGAACAGAACGATGAAAGAGATCATGTAAATGACAAGAGCATATTGCATCCAAAGTGGGAAATCACATCCCGATCGAATACCATTAATACCAAGGATCAGAGCGGTGGTGAATTGAATTAACTGAAGGATCGTCAAATACTTCTTCCACCAGAGATATTTAGCTACTGACGGTCCCAGTGCGGCTAAGCCATAATATGAATACATAAGAACGTGGATAAAACTATTTACCATCGCCGGCAAGAAAGCTGAAAAATAGAAACGTTCAATTAGATATTACTATAACGAATATAAAATAGTTAAAAAATATATAACAAATTTTTATTTTTATCTCGTTATTACATTTAACGTGTAAACAAAATATTAATCACGGTATAATATTATAATTAATATCGATTAAAAAATCAATTCCTTGAAGAAAAAATGAGTACGACTCATTTAGTAAAACAGTTTAAATCGATGAATTAAATATCCGAATGCAACACTATTGGTAATGATTAAAAAACTGTGACGTTGAATTAATAATTTGGATATTTTTGAAATATTAACAAAAATAATAATAAATTTATCTGGAATAACTTCATCGGTAAAACAGTCTAATCGGACAGAAATTATGATTAATGATATATGTTCAAATTATGCATTTATATAGACAGTTGTCTATCTCGCTACAACTGATTAGAGAGAGTTTGGCACAGATAAATACTTACTAGATCCGCTTGGTACCCATTTGATGCCAATCCACCACAACGAAAACATAGTGGAGTGGTGGTAAACGTGGAGGAAGCTTAATTGATTATCCTTCTTCCGTAGGATAAAGAAGAACGTATCACAGAACTCCAAAAGTTTACTAAAGTAGTACCACCAGACAGCATGAGCGATCTAATAAAGAAGAAGACAATAAGCAAATATAAATTTTTTTATATACAAAATTTATTCCAATTAACATTTTTAATATACTAACCTGCAATTCATCTGGGCGAGTCACGTGCCTAATTGGTTGGCACACATAACTATACCGTAACCTGGTGGACGCTACGAATAACTACAAAGAGCAAACAAGTTAGATACCGCTCGATATAAAAGATTACAGAGAGCATAACTAATTTCTAGAAGAGTAAAAAATGTACCTGTATCGCGATGTACGCGTTAAGACAGGCCATCGCAAGATTATATGGAACGAGTGCCCACGTTAATTTGAAGGCTTTTCGATTTCTCATGATCTTTGGCCCAGCCCATACAATCAGTAAATACAACATTGTGTATATCAAAGTAGGTTTCGGCGAATCGACCAGAAGCCATCCTCTCGTTCGTTCATCTATAAATGTGTAATATTTTGGAACAATAAATTTGACAGTTATCAGTAACAGATATTAATTATTTAAATACGAAAAGTAATTTAAATATTTTTAAATATTTTTTAAATTTTCATCTAAAAAAATGTTTCGAGTATAAGCGTATATTCGCTACAATTTGCGATAATGAAATTGATAGATATTTTATTTTAAATCGAAAGTGAATTGTACTCGCTACTTTAATATCGTGACTTACCGGCAAGAGATAACGTCCAGAGGTAATAATCATAGGCGTCATTTATTAGAGTTGCTGTGGAATTAATTAAGTTCGCCATTGCCTGAAACGAGATAATAATAATCATTTTGTAAATTATTCGTATGGAGTTAAATCGAAATTACATAGGACTAGTAAACGGAATATTCGTTATCCACTTATTACAGTGCTCTATACCTGTTGGTCGTTACTTTCAGTAAAAGAAGATTAAATATAGGTTAAAATATATTCCCCGATAACGTAAATATATATATATACACACACACACACACACATTATCACCATAGTATTCAGAATTAATATATATATACAAATCTTAACATTCGATTTAAAGCATAAAGTAATTATAATTCGAATGATTGGTAAAAGTATAATACGTTAACAAATAAAATATGATTATTTATTGACACGTAAAAAAATGTTAATTTATATTTACAATTTTTTAGCCTAATATCTACATAATAAAATATTTATTAATGTTAGTATAAAATGTTTAATAATATTAAAATATTTTAGTCTAAATACTTTAATAACTTTCTTAGCTCAAACAATACTTTTTTCGAAGCATTTTATTTATTATTTCTTATAATCTTTCTTTAATATAACAAATCCTACACATAGTGATACAATATCAATAACAATATCATACATAGTCTACACATTTATACTGTATTGGGCTTTATTAGTAATTATGTTTATTATCCCTAAATTCTCTCTTAACTCATGAATCTATATACATATCTAACACCCAAACATATACAGGTTATGTTAGTCTAGATAGCCCAGTCTAGATTTTAGAATGTAAAATTGCATTGCTAAAGTACATAAATCAATTTTTAGACCTTAAATAAAATGTAGTTCACGTTCATATTCTAATTTACGACCATTTAGTGTGCCGAACGATCTCGTATGTATGTCACAACATGGAACTCGTCTCAACAAACACTATCATTTTAGAAATGAAGAGCATAATGTTAGGTTTAAAAGTATTAAGCTTGAAATCTTTTCTATGAAAAATATCTTTCTTTATATCGAACAATTTTTGTGAGAATAATCCTCGAAGATCTTTCTAATTACCCACGTAGATATCTCAGCATTTGAACAGGGTATAACCTCAATATAAACAAACATCCTGTTACGGACTATTTAGTTAGAATTTTCGCCACCTTCTTGTTATCGAGATATAATTTCCATCGGTTTGATAGAACTGTAAACCTATTCAACGAATTATCGTAATAAAAGGGAATCAAAAATTCCTTATACAGACTGTGCGCGCATATGCGATTTGCCGCCATTAACCTACTGATAATGAGCAGCTTCTACGCGCGTTCTCCACGGTCGTTCACTTAAAGATGAAAACGTCATATGTAACTTTCACGTTATAACGGACAAACTAAACGCTCTCTCAATCGTCTGCGGGAAAACACGTTTCGTTGGATCTTTCAAACAGCTCAGTTTCGAGCTGGTTCCATGCTCGGATGGCAAGATAGGAATGTCTACTTTCATTTGCGGTCTAACTTCGCCATGAACTTGTGGCAAGTGCAAGTGCACGTTCCCTATCAGGTATGGCTTATTTAGCTTTCATCTCATTTTAATTAAGCTGCCTTATGGGGAGTTGATGGAATCTGTAAAATCACTGCATTTCCACGTTTCTCGTCGATAGAACTTGCTCAATTATTCCTTTGATTCAGAAGTTTCTGCTGTTTTTCAAGTACGTATGCAATATTGTCTGCGACAATATAAGAACTAATTTTATTATAAATGTCGAAATTGTATTTCTTAGTTGTACTTTGTTTCGTTAAAATAAATAAAAGTAAGATTAATAAAAAACTGATGACCTTGTTAAATTTTACGAATTGAGTTTTTATTTTGAATTTTCAAAAGCTTTATGACTGAAATGATAAAACAAAATTTTAGGGGCTTTAAGAAAACTTAAATTAATGATAGGTCTAAATTTGAATTTTAATTAGCGATATCACGCAGTGAAGACGGTAATAGAGAGTATTATACATAGTGGATATTGAATGAGATGTAATTCGATGTATTGAAATCTTTTTCACCAGTGAAATCACAATTTTGTTTTGTTAAATATCATATAATTTAAAATTATGCAGCAATTAAACAAACAATTTTGATTCACTTTCTTCACGAATAAGATTCATATTTCTATCTGATGAAACTTTATTATTATAATTACTTTCACTTTCAACAAATTCACTGAAGGAATAATTTTAATCCGCAGACTGTCTTCTTTGATTAGATATAATATTCTTCACTGCCTCGAAGCTGACTTGGAAAACTGAAAACTTTCTTTGTGCAATCATCATTATAAAAAGCTCCCTATAACATGTACAGATGCCTACTTGTCGAAATAAACAGTGAAATGGGACTGTTACTGTGACTTTGCTGCAAATTTAGGTTTACAAATTCGAATATGTAAAGTTCAAATCAATGAATTATCATCCGCCATAATGAAACTTGTGGTAAAGAAATTAATGTCGATTAATTACAATTTAATCATTTTTTCTAATTATCCATTGAAATCGTGAGAGAAAATGGCATGCGAATAAATTAATTACTAATTGTTTAAAATAATTTATATTTTAAATAACATATCAGTACATCCACGACAAATTTTATGCATTTTTATTAGCAATAAATAACTTTACCTTATTTGAAATAGCATCGAATTTGTATGAACAAATTTAATGATAAATAATTTTTTCTCTATAAATTCGCATCAACGATAGAACGAATAATCGATGTACACGAAGTAAATTAACACACGAGATACTTGACGTGTCATTTAAAAAAATTATCTATCGCACTATTTGTTATTAAAAATAGCCTTAAATTTTAATACATTTAATACATTTTAATACATTTGGCGCCAATTATGCAAGCTTGTCATTCATATAAATTACCCATACCATCCTTTTGCGAAACAAAATTTTGTCAAGTAATTTCTGTAACATATGTTCATTGCAGATAATTATTTTTCCGCTATGTTAATTATAACACGTTCTTTTTTATTTATATTCTACGAATATATCATCTAAAGTGTCAATAGCGAATAGATTCTTCATGCGAAAAAGATTCGAAAACGTGGAATACAAATTTTTAATATAAAATTTTGTCTCGCAACAAACTGAATCTGAAGAGTGTTTAGATATATGTTAGGTATATGTATGTTCATACATCTAAGTTTCTCTTTGTGAACTGTCATGACACGGTGGTTCCTAATATCTCGATTTCTCGATTTTGGAAAGATCAAATTTGCTTATTAATTTCTTTCATCTATTCACTATTTCAATATTTAAATTAATGAAATACTTTTTATAATTATTTTAGACGAATGAATGATTACCTAAACGCATAGGAGTATTTTTCTTTTTCGTATTATCATCCAGGTACGTTGCGGTTCAGGATATACAATAATTACAAATAAAAAAATGAATCGAACACACGCGGTTAATCCGTTTAATTCGAAGCATTAATTCAGAAGAAAAGTTGGAAAATTCTTTGGTGTGCTACATTTCCTTTATGTACAGCAACCACTAAGTGAGGCTATTTATCGAATTGAATCGTACGATGCTAGAAAGGTAACTACGAGTTTATTGCCTGTTTTATTGCTTGTATTAATACATTATTAACGACGATAACACAACCGGTATCCATTAAGATGTATATATCAATTATAAAGTCTTTTCCACGTTTTCGATCCGTTTCAGGGTAATCATTTTACTCCCGATTTTATCATTTATGGTGAAATATTCTGCATATCGCGCATGGAAACTTAAGCATTCGTCACGTATTAGGTACGTTTCAACATCGCGCCAAACTTCATGGGATATCCTTCTTCTATAGAACTTATTATTTCCGACTATCACTGGAAGAGAAGAAGAAGAAAAGGAAGAAAGAAAATAAGAAACCATTGAATCACTACATTGCTCGAGAAAAAATTTCGAACGTCTTCAAGTGTAGCAGTTTCTCTTCGCGTGATTAAACTATTAGAACGAATCGACCTCTTTTATTGCCACTTCGATGGAAGAACACCGTGATTTTTATTAATCACATGTACAACTTGTCGCTACGATCGTATTAGTCTTCACGCGGTTAGTATGCGCGTGATTTCCTGAGAGAAATCAATTCGTAATATTAGCAACTAAGTGAAATCATCTATGGACTAGTTTCTTTGCTACAGCAATAGAATGTGCCGTTGCATCTGGCAATCGACACATGATACAAGCTGTTCACGACGAAGAATAAGCTAATTTCTAGATGTTCATTATGCATATTAAATGTGCAATTTCTCCTTTTTCCCTTTCGTTAATATACTTTTTCACATGGAAACTGAGCTTTAAGTTAAATGCTGATGTAAAGGGTGAGAATATCTTTTAGCTTTCTTATTTATTATTTTTTAGTAATATAACGTTGTAATCGTTATTGCTTTTTAGAGATCTCACTTTCAGCTTAACTCTTGATTTTATTACAACTATTATACTTTTTATTGGTACTTCACTTCCATTTTGAATTTTATGACTTTCAATTATTCTTTTTTCACCACCAATATGTCTCGTCGAGTGTCTTTGTTAAGTGTAATTCAAATTTTGGTTCCAATTATTTTGGATATTTTTATTTTTAATTTCAATCGCGATCTTAACTATTTGGTTACTTTTGTTTTTAAATATTATTCCTATTTTGAAGTTTGGAGCATAAAAGAGTTTTGTTACTCGAATCGATTTATGCTTTACTTGGATTTACGATTTTTCAAAAATTTTTACGACCTTTTTTTTTTAGTTAATCGATTGTTTTTAGACTCAATCATGACAGATATTGTCAAGATTATCTAGACTAATTAAAACAATTGACAATTTTTAGAGAATTATTACTAGTTTCGCTATTTGTTGTACTTAAATACCGATGTCACTGCAATAAAGCTTTCTGAGAAATTCTCACCCTAATTTATTTAATATTTTGAAAAACTAGGTATAAATATCGGTAACTACTCTTCAATTGATATTTTCTATCCCCTCCTAATTTTTTACAATAAATGTTTCCTTA